GCACCTCGAGGCGTCCCTGGACAAGGAGGTGAGCGAGGGCAGGGGTGGGAACGCTGCCGGGGTGACCCCGACGAGGACAAGGGACCTCATTGTGTCCCTTTCCTTGTAGATCTACTACCACGGAGAGCCCATCAGCGTCAACGTCCACGTCACCAACAACACCAACAAGACGGTCAAGAAGATCAAAATCTCCGGTAAGGAGTGTGGTCCCCCCCATCCCTGTCTCCATCCCCATGGGTACCCTCCCTGACCCCCATGTCTCCCTGTCACCCCAGTGCGCCAGTACGCCGACATCTGCCTCTTCAACACCGCCCAGTACAAGTGCCCGGTGGCCGTGGAGGATGCCGAGTGAGTACCGGTGGCTGGGGGACAGCGTGTCCTCCTCAGGGACATCGTGAGGGGCCTTGGAGGAGTCCTGCCCCAGTGCGGCACCGTCCATGCAGTGGGGTGTTGCGTTTGGCGAGCAGGTCCTAGTGGGAGGAGCGGGGTGGAGGCACCTTTGGGGGTGGCACCTTCTGCGTCTCCCGGGATGGAGATGGACTCCAGGGTGGGGATGGGATTGAGATGTTCTTCAGGATGGGGATGGGGATGGAGATACCTGGAGTTGGGATGGAGATGTTCTTCAGGATGAGGATGGGAATGGGATGGGGATGTTCTCCAGGATGGGGATGGGGATGGAGGTGGCCTCCAGGATGAGGATGGGATGGGATGGGATAGAATGGAGAGGTCCTCCAGGATGGGGATGGGATGGAGATGTTCTCCAGGATGGGGATGAGATGGAGATGTTCTTCAGGATGGGGGTGGGATGGAGATACCTGGAGTTGGGATGGAGATGTCGTCCAGGATGGGGATGGGATGGAGATGTTCTTGAGGATGGGAGTGGGATGGAGATGTCATCCAGGATGGGGATGGGATGGGAATGTTCTTCAGGATGAGGATGGGATGGAGATGGTCTCCAGGATGGGGATGGGATGGGATAGAATGGAGAGGTCCTCCAGGATGGGGATGAGATGGAGATGGCCTCCAGGATGGGGATGGGATGGAGATACCTGGAGTTGGGATGGAGATACCTGGAGTTGGGATGGAGATACCTGGAGTTGGGATGGAGGTGGCCTCCAGGATGGGGATGGGGATGGAGGTGGCCTCCAGGATGGGGATTGGGATGGACGTGCCCTCCAGGATGGGATTGGGATGGACGTGCCCTCCAGGATGGGGATTGGGATGGAGGTGGCCTCCAGGATGGGGATGGGGATGGAGATGTCTGGAGTTGGGATGGAGATGCTCACCAGGATGGGGATGGGGATGGAGATGTCTGGATTTGGGATGGGTTGGAGATGTGACCCGTGGAGTTGTCGGTTGGCAACGGGGCCATGGCTGACGGTGGCCATTGTCCTCAGCGACATGGTGGCCCCAAGCTCGACGTTCTGCAAGGTCTACACCCTCACCCCCTTCCTCGCCAACAACCGGGAGAAGCGGGGTCTGGCGCTGGATGGAAAACTCAAGCACGAGGACACCAACCTGGCCTCCAGCACCTTGTGAGCCCCCACCCCACCACCCCTTGGGGCGTTTTGGGGGTGGTTTTGGGGGGGGACACACCGAGCCGTGGTGGGCGTCACGCTCCTGCTCCAGGGGTGTCACCTCATGGGTGTCCCCAAATTCCTCCAGGTTGAGAGATGGAGCCAACAAGGAGATCCTGGGCATCATCGTGTCCTACAAGGTGAAGGTGAAGCTGGTGGTGTCACGAGGAGGGTGAGTGGTGGGGACCCCCCCAGATTTGGGACCATCCTTGGGGTGTCCCCCACCCTGGGGGGGATTGGTGAAGCTGTGCTGGAGCCCAGTTCTGACTGGAGTTGCCCTTTTTTGGGGTGGGGGGTGCATTAACCCTTACAAAAACCCCATTGCCCCCCAATAAACCCCCCTTTGGGACTCAGCAGTGGGGGGGACACACAAATTTGGGGAGGGGGTCATGTGTATTTGGTGGGGAGGGGGAAACAGTGACTGATGCATTGTCTCCTTTGACCCACGGCAGCCTCCTGGGAGACCTCGCCTCCAGGTAACGCCCCCAAATCGCCCCCATCGCACCCACTTGC